AAGTGTAGGTCAGATTATCAGTGAGACTGCACTATATAATTTTTGGTCAGATTATCAGTAAGACTGCACTATATAGGTGTTGGTCATATTATCAGTGAGACTGCACTATATAGGTGTTGATCAGATTACCAGTGAAACTGCACTATATAGGTGTTGGTCAGATTATCAGTTAGACTGCACTATATAGGTGTTGGTCAGATTAACAGTGAGACTGCACTATATAGGTGTTGGTCATATTATCAGTGAGACTGCACTATATATAGGTGTTGGTCAGATTAACAGTAAGACTGCACTATATAGGTGTTGGTCATATTATCAGTGAGACTGCACTATATAGGTGTTGATCAGATTATCAGTGAAACTGCACTACATAGGTGTTGGTCAGATTATCAGTGAGACTGCACTATTTAGGTGTTGGTCAGATTATCAGTGAGACTGCGCTATATAGGTGTTGATCAGATTATCAGTGAAACTGCACTACATAGGTGTTGGTCAGATTATCAGTGAGACTGCAATATATAAGTGTTGGTCAGATTATCAGTGAGACTGCACCATATAGGTGTTGGTCAGATTATCAGTGAGACGGCACTATATAAGTGTTGGTCAGATTATCAGTAAGACTGCACTATATAGGCGTTGGTCAGATTATCAGTGAGACTGCACTATTTAGGTGTTGGTCAGATTATCAGTGAGACTGCACTATATATAGGTGTGGAAATGTATGTCCTCCAGGTCTAGGAATACAATCAGAGATTCAGAACCATGATTGGGACAAAGCTATGCTACACAACACTTAATTCATTAGTAGTATAACAATTCATAACATGTAGAATTGTAAAATAAATCAGCACATTTCTAAATACCTGACCACGCTAATAGTAGATTAACAATTCATAACTACAACTTGTTCATGTAGAATTGTAAAATAAATCAGCACATTTCTAAATACCTTACAACGGTAATAGTAGAATAACAATTCATAACTACAACTTGTTCATGTAGAATTGTAAAACAAGAGGCCCAGAGGGCCTGTATCGCTCACCTGGATATCAAAGCAAAATATTCTCCAAATGAGATCTAAGGGATTATGCCAGACCTCAAGGCCAATCCTTGTAGCATATCTGTATTTGATTTTTTATGCCCAGCAATTTTATGTATGGTTATGGGGTGGGGATCTCAACAGTTTCCAAGCTGTGACTCAGAAACTAGGTCCCTAGGGTTGTGGCCAGACCCCAGGATAAATTCTTATATCATGACTGCATTTGTCTCTTTTTGCCCAGCATTTGTATATATAGTTTTGGGGTGGGGATCTCAACCGTTTCAAAGTTATGACCCAGGGGTTAAGTCTGCAAGGGTGGGGCAGACCCTTGGGTCAATTCTAATATCATGACTGTATTCGTCTCTTTATGCCCAACAATTGTATATAGTTTTGGGGTGGGGATCTTAACCGTTTCAAAGTTATGACCCAGGGGTTAAGTCTCCAAGGGTGAGGCCAGACCCTAGTGCCATCCTGGAAGCAAATGTACATTCCTCTCGTTATACTCAACAATTGTATATATGGTTAGATGGTGGGGATCTCAACCATTTCCAAGTAAAAAAAAATGATGTTTGCCCCACCCCTTAGCCCGGGGGGTCAGCCCAACCATTTGTACAATTTTGAATCCCTGCCTCCCATAAATGCTTCCGACCAAATATGATCAATATCCATGGTATAGTTTTACAGAAGAAGTCATTTATAGCAATATAGCCAAATTGCCCCCTTTTGGCCCAGCCCTCAGCCCCCTGGGGGGCAGTCAGCCCCACCATTTGTACAATTTTGAATCCCCACCACCTAGGGATGCTTCCAGTCAAATATGGTTGATATCTATCTCTTAGTTCCAGAGAAGAAGTCGCTTAAAGCAATATAGCTAAATAACCCTTTTTGGCCCCGCCCCTCAGCCCCCACAGGGGTCAGCCCCACCATTTGTACAATTTTGAATCCCTGCCTCCCATGAATGCTTTTGATTAAATATGATTGATATCCAGTGCATAGTTCTACAGAAGAAGTCGTTTGTAGCAATATAGTCAAAATGCCCCCTTTTGGCCCCGCCCCTCAGCCCCCTGGGGGGTCAGCCCAACCATTTGTACAATTTTGAATCCACACCACCTAGGGATGCTTCCAGTCAAATATGGTTGATATCCATCTCTTAGTTCCAGAGAAGAAGTCGCTTAAAGCAATATAGCCAAATTGCCCCCTTTTTGCCCCGCCCCTCAGCCCCCTGGGGGGTCAGCCCCACCATTTGTACAATTTTGAATCCCCACCACCTAGGGATGCTTCCAGTCAAATATGGTTGATATCCATCTCTTAGTTCCAGAGAAGATGTCGCTTAAAGCAATATAGCCAAATTGCCCCCTTATTGCCCCGCCCCTCAGCCCCCTGGGGGGTCAGCCCCATCATTTGTACAATTTTGAATCCCCACCACCTAGGGATGCTTCCAGTCAAATGTAGTAAAATTCCAATAAGTGGTTAAGAAGAAGAAGTCGTTTAAAGAAATTGTTGACGGACGGACGACGGACGCCGGACGGACGACAGACGGACGGACGACGGACGCCACGGTATGGCATAAGCTCACCTTGGTCCTTTGGACCCGGTGAGCTAATAAATCAGCACATTTCTAAATACCTTACCATGGTAATAGTAGATTAACAATTCATAACTACAACTTGTTAATGTAGAATTGCAGTCGAGAAAATCTGATTTCACGAGCTACTGTAACAATGACTTGTAGATGTCTCTGTAATGTGTCATTGAACCCTATGATATGTATGGAAAAATAACTCTTGTTAAATCATATTTTATTACGGGTATCAAAATGTCCAGTCATAGAATCTCCATGTATCCAATGGAAACTGATGTTCAGCAATATATAGGAAACAGTAGCATAAAGGGAACACCGCAAATTTGACAATAAACATTCTACCATATTAGTAGGTTTTACAGCGTTGAACAAGATTCTTTAAAATGTAATCACTTATGAGAGAACAATTCACACCAGCACACAGTATACAGTTGTTTCATGCCTTATCAGTCAACATTCAAAACTATTTTCCCGAGGAGTTGGGACCCACCAGATGAACTGTTTTCCGAGGCCGCAGGCCGAGGGAAACAGTTCATCTGGTGGGTCCCAACTTCGAGACCAGTGACCAGTCAACAGTTTCACGTGACCAGTCAACAGTTTTACGGTGACCATTCAACAGTTTTACGGTAGCACACATTAGCTATAGTTCGTTTTGTGAATTGTCTGGGAAACAGTATACAATTGTTTCATGGCTATTTGGGAAACAGTTAAAACTATCATCCCGAGGTAGGGGGAAGCCCTG